CCCCAAAACCCCAAAACCCCAAAACCCCTTAATCATAGATTTTTTCCAAAACAAATGTTAAGTTTAATTAATAATCAAATTTTTTTTATCAAAAGCTCAAATGATCAATCAATCTTCATCAGAATCCTAGGGATTGCTAAGTCCAAGTTTACCACTTGATGAGGATTTCCCTATGAATGACTTTAGATCTAAAATCTCATCTTCATTATACTCCTATTTTAACAATTTATACTAATATACTATTTACTTACACTAAGTGAAAAGTTTTTCTCGGCTTTTTTAGTAAGACTGTAGAGTAAAAATATGGTGAAGGTTGTCACAAAAATCCAACTAAGGAAATAGTAAGCAATGCTAAACAAAGGCATTGAAAGCAGGATTTTATTGTAAAAGGAGGAGATCTCTGTCATTTCACATTAAGCAAATTTAGAGTGCTTTAATCTCGTCTGATTCTACTCTAGTCCACAAGGGGTTCCATCTTCTAATCTTTATGAGCCAAAAGTAGTGTACTGAGGAGAAATCGTCATTAGTTGCATGGAGAATGCAAATACCATAAGAATAATCAAAACAGCAGCTAGATTCAAGGCTTATGGTTAAGTCTCTCTCTTCTTTATAGTATAACCCTAGTGTAATTAAGTTAAATGATATTAAATTACATTGAAGATCTGCATGAATCTAACTCCTAATCTTACTATACCAAAGATGCAAGTTACTAGCACATATATCAATATAATTGAAATGAAAATCAAATCTAGAGGGAATACTTTTGATAGTTAAACAAGCGTCCAATCAAGAGGGTTGAACAAAGTATATTTGTCAATAAAGTAACCACAGTGAAAGCCACAAGTTGAATTCAACAATTTATCAATGTTTGCTGCAACAATTGATGAGATAATTAATAAGGAAATACTAAGGCATCCTATTCCAAAAATGATTCTAAAAGGAGTCATGAATTTCAGAAATTTGGAGATTATTCTCCAGGACTAGGTCTATTTTTGATTTTTACTTTAAATCGTGCTTTCAATTTTGTTTGATTTAGTATTCAACATTTTCTCATCTTTTCGGAGTTTTCTTAAAGCTTATTTATCTTTTCTAGACACTTATTCGTGAGACTTTTAATATTTTTCTTAGATAGCTCTAAGTTACTCCCTAACTTACTCAATTGACTTGCTTATAGCATCTCTTTCATCCTCTAAAGATTTCTAACCCTTTATCAATAGCAAAGGCATTGAAGCCATTCCATAGGAATTGTAAAGTAGTTTAAAGATTGCTCCAATAAAGATCATGAGTGTGACTATAAATCTCACAAATGTCTCTCCATATTGATTTGTATCAAATATCTGCTTCTTCCAGCTGTCCATATATTTCTCATTTTCCTCAGTTTGTCTGAAAACAGTATTTTATAAGAAGTAGCTAACTATTAAAAGCACACTTAAACCTCCAATAAATAGAGACTAAAATAGAAAATCAACAATGATTCTTGTCAAGATGTTTTTGGCTTACTGTTTTCTTAAAGGATATCACTGCTTTAGTCCAAGTTTGCTTTAGTCGCTGATTCAAAGAATGCTTCTTGCTTCTCTTTTCTCCTTTAACTTGCATAGTTGAAGAAGACCCTGTACTTATAGTATCAAACTCCTCATCATCGTCAGAGTATTCCCCAAGGGAAAAGAAATCAATATCATCCTCGTTTTCTAATGATTCCTCCGCGTAAAAGTATGTGAATGGCAAAACGATGAAACACAAGCCAATCAAAATGATGTAATCACCTATTTTCGTTAATCAATGATTTAAGTCATATTCATACAGAGGTAGAAAGTATATAAATCTATGTTGAAAATAACTGTCTTGTAATGATTGACTGCATTGTAGACGTCAAAAGGTATAAGTGTAATATAAACCATTACTGAGGTTAATGCTAGCATTTATGCCCCTAGAGCAAGCTTAACTGTTTCATTTGGATCTGAGTAATACTTCAAAATCGCATAATTAATGTAGATGATCCCCTAATTGAATAAGATTTGTTAATGTTATTGAAATTACTGTCAGAAAGAGTGACAGCAAACTCATTAGCAGAAAGAACTCCATTTTGAATTTAAACTACAATTTAAATATAGTAGATTAATGAAATGTTCTGCTTGGGGTTTTGGGGTTTTGGGGTTTTGGGG